GTGGGGGGGGGGGGGGGTTAGGTTGAACACTTGAGGCAGTGAGTATCGACGTAGGAGTTTTGTTCTAAAAAGGAATATTTTAAGGATAAAATAGTAAAAATCTTGGTCAAACTTAAAGTGCTTATAAGCTAAAAATTCATAAGCTAGGGGTGACCAGCTTATTTTTGACTTATAAGCACTTTTAACTTTACCAAACACATAGATAAGCCGAAAAGTGCTTATAAGCTAGTTTGACCAGCTTATAAGCTTAGCCAAATGCCCTCTTTGTCTATGTGGATGTGGTAGGGTTGCCTTACACTTATTGATTTATGGAATTCTACTGTTAAAATTTTTTTTCGATTCCACTGTTAAGTTTCACAGTTCTCCCTTATTTAAAAAAAAGTTTCCTTTTTACATGTTGAATGCTTCGTCCTTTTTGTCCTCCCACAGGCATGCAAATGTTTCCCTGGAGCTGCTGTTGAAACTTGTTGCAGTCTTTGGGCCGGTAGTTCGTTCAGCCGTTTCAGCACCTCCATCTGTAGGGGTTGATCTTCATGCAGAAGAAAGGTAATGTTGCTTAATGATTAGGCAGCTCACTTTTCATTTTTTTGCTTGGGTGATAGTGAATACACAATACTTGCATGTCTGGCCGTCTCTAATTTCTTACACTGTAAAACAGAATCCAGTGCTGCAAACAGTGCTTTGCGTATCTCCAAGACATACAGAAAGTACTTCCAGCACTTACTAGGTAATTAAGAATCCACTTTTTACTTTTCATTATTATGATTACTCTTATGATTTTATTTTATTGGTGGGCCAATTCATGCTCTCTGGATTTGGGATAGAGTTGCTAGATTTCAGTTAGAATTTCTAAGTCAGAAAAATGACTAGTAGCGCCGCACCATGTTTGAGAATCATCAATTAAAGGTGTTGAAAGCAAGCTTCATAGTCAATGATGCACAACAAACTTCAAACTTAGTAACGGCAACATCTTTAGGTTCTGGTTTCATTGGACAATGGATATTATTAAAGGGTGGATTTCCAATCATTTTCGTCTATCTTCAGTTTTGTACATTGAAAGATGTTTACTTCCATCATAGAAGCTTACTGATCCGAGTCCCGAAGCTTCATGATATGGTGTCTGAATATGTTTGGTTTGGAGGGCAGGGGCCTAAGGCTTGATTTCTAATTGATAGGTGTGCGTTGAGCTTTTGAAATATTCAAGAATTGATGCAACTTGTTGTCGATTAGAATTCTAGTTGATATCTTTACCTCCTTTTCTTACATATCTAAAGCAGCTAGAAGCCCGGAGTCCTCCTGTCTTGATTTTGTTGGCTACTCACTTTTTGCTTACATTCTATTATTGTAGGAGAAGTGGTCTGTTGGCAAAAGGTGCATTACAATTAAATCTCCTACTTCAGGAATCGTAGTCCAGTTTATCATACAACAGAATGGAAGTTAGCTAATATAGATATTATCCAACTGATGGGCTCTTTTTGGACTCCACAATTTTGTTCGTCGGATTTCCACGCTTGCTACCATTTTCAACATCCTTGTAATAGCGGAAAACAGGCAAGACGGAGATGCGATGTCTGTCCTCTGCCACTGCAACTGGTTTCGGAGCAACTGTAAAATTCTGGACATATAACCTTTTGGTGATCACAAATGGCTGTCTTCTTTCAAATACGGCATGAACATACTTAAAGTTCCTGGCTGTATGTATCCATATGTAAGTTGTGTACATGTATCTGTAATAGTAAAAATGGGATGTATATTACATCATTTGATCAATGAAACATATGTTCATACGTCTTTTCTTCTCTTGCTATCGAAACTCAAAATATTGTATTTTGTTCTCAAGTTTACTATAAAGTTTCAGTGGTCAACTGGTGCAATATTAGAAGAATTAAAGTTGCTTACTGAGTTACTGGTATTCCAAATGGCAAGACACTAGACATCAAGTGAAATGGACACTCAGAAAAGGTCTCGGATATATAGAAGAAAATGAATGCCTATAGTAGGTTACAAGTATAAATAGAAAGTACTTTCACAAACTTTAATCCCTTTCGCACAATAGCGCAACAGAATCTGAGCTTAGCTACAATATTTAGTTGATCTTCTAAACATTTCAAATATTTTCTCGACTATTTTCGTAGATAAGTTTTGGAGAATCTTCTAAAATTTCGACAATGGTAGATCCAATAATGAGTTAGCTGGTTTGGCAGAATTCAGTATTGTGGAATAAAATTATATATGTATATCTGAGCGCTAAAAAAAGAAATAAATTCAGGAATTGCCATCCCTGAAGGAAAGAAAACTCTGTTAAAGAAGGCATTGGAGCATCAAATAACGTACCTTATTTGAAAGGTATTTTAATATTGACCTAAAAGGACCTAAGTCCAAACACTAGAGTATCACTGTAAACTAAGTTGGTTATCATTATTTTGTTTTTTTCTTCATTTTAGTTGGTTACTCCGTATTAAGTAATTACTTCCTCCGTTCCAACCCCGAGGGGTAGCTCAATTAGTAAAGGACTGAGGACAAACCGGAGGGCCACTGGAGGCATTACAAACCGGCCGCGTCTCCAGGGCCCCGTGGAACTAACCGTGGTGCACGCATTGAAATAGTGGGTCCCGGTGGGTACAACTAGTCGGGTTCGCAAAGCGATGAAACCACGGTTAAAAAAAAGAAAAATTCCTCCGTTCCAATTTATGCGAACCTGTTTGAGTGGACACGGAGTTTAAGAAAAAAATAAAGATTTTTGGAATTTATGATCCTAAAACAAGTCAAAAAGAGGTCCAGAGTATTTGTGTGGTTATAAAAGCTTTTCATTAAGGGTATAATTGTAAGTTTAAGCTAAATTGTTACCAAATTTAGAAAGAGATCATTCTTTTTGGAACGGACCAAAAAGGAAATTGGTTCGCATAAACTGGAACAGAGGGAGTAATATATTTCTCTCTACAGATTAGACATATAAGTTTAAAGCAGTATAAATATATTTTGGCATTGATTTAGAATAACAAATTAATTTTTCTAAATTTTTTTTATAGGAACTTAAAATATAAAATACTACGTATTAACTTACTATATAATCAGTTATATAGCACACTGTATATGTATGTAAACTCAATCTCATAGGGGCATTAAATTCGAAATCACTCACATCATGCCACGTGTAACACGACAATAGTCCATTCCACTAATGGATATACGTTATGGGGGAAAAAAGAATAAACATACGTCATTTTTTAAACTTCAGGGGTCATTTTAGTTTATAAAAATTAACACTTTGACCCCAAAAATAAAGAAAATGTCTTCCACTGTTCGTCCTGCAGAGGTGCAGAGTCCGAGAGAGGGAGAGAGATTTTTGTTTCAGGTAAACCAAAATTCTCGAGAAACAAACAGTAATCTCCATGTTTTTCTCTTCCAATAACAACCATTTTTCATCAATAATTTTTCTCCTTTTTCCTTTCTTTTCCATACTTCTTCACTTGAATTCCCTTATCTTCAACCTTCACACAATTCCGTCAACCCCTTTTCTCTCGCTTTTTCTTCCCTAACCAAAATTACCACAAGCCCAGAAAATTCTGAACACAAAAAAAAAAAAAAAAAATTAAAAAACTGAACTTTTCAGAAATCAACCTTCTAACCTTGCATTTTACGTCCAGGAAACCACCTTTATTTGAAAAAAAAATCATGATTTCCCATTATCTTCAATCCCCAAAAAGCAGTTTTTCCCCTCCTTTTTTGTAATTCCCGGTGATATTTTGCGTCGTGGTGGTTGTTGCTAACGTGCGCCGGGTGCTGAGATTAGAGAAACTTGGTGTCAGGTCGGTCGGGTCGGGCCAAGTTAGAAACTCTAAGGGTGGGACATTATTTTTGTCTAGAAATTATCTGAGCCGTACACGTAGAGGTTCTGGATTGTTTGAGCCGTTTAATGGAGGGAGAAACAATGGGTGTGGGACCCAGGAAGATGAATTGGGGTACGTGGGAAGAGCTTATACTCGGTGGTGCTGTTCGCCGACATGGGACGAAAGATTGGAACGTCGTCGCATCGGAGCTCCGTGCCCGGACTGTATATCCTTATTGCTTTACCCCCGAGGTTTACACTTATTTACGTTACGTGCCCCTATCATATTATGATTGCGACAACACTCCGTTTGTTTATTTTGGTTTGTTCGTAATCTCCGCTTTTTTTTCTCCTGTTATGGAAGAATTATTGTCCTTTGTCGGGTATTTGCCTTATCTACTACTATAGTATTTGATTTTGTGGGGTCCATCTCATAGGAATAATTAAATAGGATTAATTCATTAATTAAAAAAATATCAATTTAAACGAGACAACAACCTTATTTTTGAATTATGTCTGGTCCAGGGTGGATTTTTAGAGTTTTAAAATCTGTGCATCTTGACTACTTATCAGAAATACTTACTTACACTCACTACATGCACCAAAGGAATAAGTAAAATAGTAAATGACATGTTTTTTTGCACAAAGTTTATCACTTAATCATAATTAATTTACTATTTACAATGTACTCCTAGCTTAATTTATCATTGGCTATGTTAAATTATCATACTTTGGCGCATGCATCGGGTCTGAGTAAATTTTTCTCGTTGATTATCAGTCAATGCTACAAATCTTCTATGTAGCAGCAGTGGAAATTTCCTTCTTAGAAAACAAAACTACGTTTTTGGATAAATAGTAAATTGTTTGGTTGTGTACTTGTGTCCCCGTCTGTCCTACAAAAATTGTGTAGATGGAATTACAAAATTATTGTTGATGGTTGTGCGGTGGGGGTTGGGGTGGGGGTGGGGGGTGGGGCATTAGGAACTTAATTATGTGTTTGCTTCTCCTTCAAGGTGGAGAAGGTCTGTGTACACACTACCCTCCTCAGACATTACTTGTGGAATTATACTAGGTTTGTTTGTTGTTCTCCGTCAAGGTGGACCATAATCTAAAATAATAGTAATAAATAAATAAAAGGTGGAGCAGAATCTGAAGCTTTTGGTGTGTCATAATGGTGTTGGGGTAGCCTAAACTTTGTCTTTATTGGTTGATATGTGGCTGCCATATAAAGAGGCGACCCCAATGAATATTGGGATCTTTTTAGTTTGTGGTTCAACAGATTTCATATGTTTGTTATTCTTGGTTGCTTTATGTTTTTGTTTCCACTAACCAGAGATAAGGACATCATGAAGTATAGTAGTAACTTTTTTTCAATGATTTTAGTGCTTTTCTGACCTATGACTAGCCAATGAATAGAACTGTAACAAAATCAACTTCACTGCATTTTCTTGACCTTGTGTTCTCCATTCCTAAGTTTTCCATACCTTTATCCATACTCTAAGATATGCTGATATGATTAATTGACGAAAAACTTAACTTCAGGCCTGCAGGACCAGGTACGAGGACTTACGTAAGCGCTACTCTGGCTGCAAGTGAGTCAAAGTTCTTCAACTTCATGAGCTTATTAGTTTATTCATGAATCCAGTACCATCTCAGTTATGGCTTTCTGACACATATATGGAAGTTTGTATCCATCTTATGGGGTGTACAATTTCTTGAGTTGTTTTATCTTGTAAATACACTACTAGCTTAATCCTCACCTTTGGAATGGATCCATGGTTTCCGTTAAGTTACTGATAATTGAGCATTGTAGGATGTCATCCTTGCCCTAACCAATGTGCTACTTGTTTAACTTTCTTTTGGCTAGTGCTTGGTTTGAAGAGTTACGAAAGCGACGAGTTGAAGAGCTGAAGCGGGAATTGGAGAGATCTGAAAGCTCCATTGGGTTAGTAAATATGTTGCTTCCCTGTTTTAAGTTGATAAGCAAATACTTGCTAATAAATCCTGGCATTTTGAAGTTCTTGGCCACACTTAATGCATTTCTATAGAGAAAATCTAAATAAAAAAATATCTGTGACCTCGGGTAATTATATTTTTTGCTCTCATAACCCCCACCCCCCCACCCCCCACCCCAAAGCTCACTTTTCTGTGGTCCTCAATAAATAAGAGAAAATAAATCTAGAAAAAGTACGAGAAAGGAGAATGAAGAAAGTATCAGGAAATGCGTAGTCATGTTATCTTGTGATGTTTGGCATAAACTTAGGCTCCATAGATGAATCTGATGTTCTGTCACTTTTTTCTGCATTTGAATAGCATAAAACTCCTGTTCCATGAGCCAAATGGTTAATACATGTATGCAATGAGCAGTCTCTTGGTCCCATAATTTTCTGTTTCCTTAACACTGTGATTACCAAATATTATCTTTATGCTCATTGTCAGGTTTCTTGAGTCAAAGATTGAAAGCCTAAAGGCTGAGAGGGAACAATCTGGTCAGTTAGACTATGGACTGAGTCGCACTGAATCTCCTGCTCCTCCGACAAAATCAGAAGATATTGAGTCTTTTGTGAAAGATGAAGCAAAAGATGGGCTGTCTGCTGGCAGCTTCACACTTGATATTAGAACAAACCAGTCCCCTGAGTCTCAGGTTCCCACCATACCCTCAACAGATGTGAAGCTAGAACGTTCAGAGTCTTGTGAACGGGACAAAGTTCCAAGTACAAGCAAGGTGACAGAGGTTTCCAATGGAAATGGAGGGGCTGTAAGGAAGAGAAGAGGTAAGAGGAGAAGAAAAGATACCGTTTGGGATGCCAAAGAAGGGAGCATTGAGGAGAGTGACAATGTATGTTCTACCAGTCTCGCCTCCACTTCTCACTGTAAAGAAGCATTAACCAGTTGTGAACAAAGTATTAGGCATTCAGCAGTAAGTGATCATAGAGGAGGTTTATCTAGGTTTAGGAACGATGACCTGATGAGGATTTTCACCTCTATTACACAGCATGAAGCTGCTATGGTCTTCAGGCATCGTCTTGATAGTCAGAAGAGAGCAAGATACAAGAAAATGATAAGGCGACATATAGATATCGAGACAGTAAAATCAAGACTGGCGAGTTGGTCAATCAAAACACCAGGTGAACTCTTCAGAGATTTCCTTCTGCTAGCCAATAATGCCATGGTATTTTACTCGAAGAGGACGAGGGAATACAAAGCAGCAATGGCTTTAAGAGACATTGTCACTAGAGCATATCGACAGCATTACAAAAGCTCTTACTACAAAGCTACATCTTCCCTCCTGCCCTTTCCAACGATTGGTAATCCACCTGGGAAGCCACGAAGTGTTCGCCCTCGCCCTTCTAAAGACAAACTTCAAGCCAAGTATGGCAATAATATGAAAGACATTATTGCTGGAAAAGTAGGAAGACAGAATCATAGACCAGGTGATGCTGATTCTAAGGTACCATTGCAATCTTTGTTATCAGCTAAGAAGGGCTTCAAGAGGCCTGAAAAAATCAAGCGTGGACCGATTATCGAGTCTGTTAATGTACAAACTAAAGTACAAGCTAAGGAATCCACACAACATAATATTAAGGTTAAAGAGGACCATCGAATTAAGCCTGTAACCAAAGAAAGGAAAAGGGCTCGGCAAAAGTGATTTGTAGTTTCCATAATCTTTAGTTACTTTATCCACTCTCTTTTTTTTTTCCCTTCATTTTTTCATCTTTCTATTTTCTGTGGCCATTTTGCGACTAGGCCTCATCTTGAAAGAGGAGAAATGCAGGTGTAATACTAATAAAGGTGTGATTATCAGCTTCAAATTAGTTTCCATGTAAGTATTACCCATAAATGATAAATGTGTAATCTCCCAAAAGTAATGTACTTATTTAATGGTTAAAATATGTGTAAACTAAACATCAATCTATGAAAAGGACTGGTTTAATGTGAGCTGCATCACTACCGTATGCCATCACAGGTGTTTGTTTAATAAAAGATGAACAAACTCTTCTGCACAACTTTTTAAATAGTGACAAAATTTAAACAGTGGCCTAAAAATGGGTTATTGGGCTTTTTGTGAAGCAAAATGTCCACTTGTCTTGCGCCCAATTGGTTTGGGAGTACATTTTGAGACGGGTCCTCTTCATTGATGATTGATCCACGCAGTTATTTCCTCTCTTTCAATTTATGTGTCTTAATATGGTTGGACACGAAGTTTAAGAAAATAAAGAAGATATAGTGTCAAATGTAAAATGTGCGTAATGTATAATAATGATTTTAAATATGTCATGTGAAAAGTTAAAAGATTAAATACAAAAGATTAGGAGTACATTCTTTTTAAAATGGACTGAAAAGAAAAGTAAGGACACTATATTGAAACGGATGGAGTATTATAGTAGACGTGCCACCAACTCTATGAACAAAACATCACCAAATCGGATATCCTCATAATAAATTAAATAGATAAATAAAGAACTGCCCCAACTATGCCAATAGCCAAACACTTTAGGGCATAAATAAATGATTAACTAATTGGTGAGAGAGACTATGGAATAAGATAGATATTAAAATAAACGTTCCTTTGATTAAATTAGTTCAATGGAGTCCCACATGTCAAAGAAAACTAAAATTCTGGATCTCTAATTATGCGCAGAGTAAATTACACTAACTAGCCTTGTAATATTACTCAATTTTAAATACACCTCATATATCTCTAAATTAAATATTTAATACCCCTATACAACTGTGTACTGACATTTCGGGGATTATAAATCAGTTTTTGTTAAAACTACTCAGATTAATATAAAAAAAAACTAGGGATTCTACTACCTTAATTAAATGGGTCAGTTGAACCATGCAGAAACCAACTAATCCTAATGTAGACACATGCCCTGCAAAAATTTATTAGTTTACATACAATCTTTCCCTAGCCCCAGGAGACTGCGAGTTTTTGGCCAATATTGTCCCTTATCTTTGAGGGTCGGTCTTTGGTCTCTCAGATATAATTCTGAGTATATTTAGTCCCTTAAGTATATTAAAGTGGAGCATCTTTAGTCTCACTAACACAATATGTTCAAAAACTAACGGTATTACCCAACTCTGATTCATGAAGCAAATCTTCTGCTCTGAAGCAAAACGTTTTCTCTCCTTTTATTGCATAATACAAACTATCACTTTAATTCCTCATTTTTAGATAGTGTCTTCTAAAATTTGACTTTGAAAATATCCCCTTCTGTGCCAATTTTCAATGAGAAAATGACACTATATAGCCGCTGTAAAAATAATAACCTAAAAAAGGTTTAAAATTTGTACACTTTTTTTTGTGTGTATATATATATATAGTGTCATTTTCTCATTGAAAACTAGCATAGAAGGGGATATTTTCAAGGTCAAAATTTTAGGACACATTATCTTAAAGAGAGGAATAAAGTGATAATTTGCATTATACAATAAAAGGAGAGGAAACGTTTTGCTTCAGAGTAGAAGATTTTCTTCATGAATCAGATGTTAGGTAAACCCGTTAGTTTTTGAACATAATATGTTAGCGAGACTAAAGGTGTTCCACTTTAGCATACTTAAGGGACTAAATATGCTTAGAATTATATTTAAGGGACCAAAATAGATCTATCCTAAAAAATAAGGAACAATATTGGTCAAAAACTCGGAGACTACCGACAACACCAACTCTGAAATCTGAATTCTCTTTGTTTGTATTGGCCGTATCTTGGAAAGAGTCAATTGACGATTTTGCCTATTAAATATTTGAGATTTTCTTTTTCCTTTTTCTCAGTTTAACCATTTGATAAACAAAATTTACTGCTCCCATTAAATTTAGGTGGAGTAGCTATTTTTGTGATCCAAATTGGGACATCTTCGTTATTTAACTGTTCTCCTGAACGACTTCCCTTTGTTGATTCAACAGTTTCTTAGGAATTTTTATAGGGGCGTCACTAACTACATGAACAAAAACATCATCAAATCAAATTAATAAATGAATAAAAAAATAAATAAATGGAGTAATAGACTTGTCCACATACACCTGTATTCATGCATGTTACACATAGTTGAACTTTGTAAAGAGAATATGGAAATTGGAACAAGATAGATATTAAAGAAAAGCATCCCTTAATTATGCTACTTAATTAATCAATAAACAAAAAACAGTATGTCAGAGATCAACTTCATATTTTAAATTGTATTTAGTGTAATATTTGTAACTTAGATGATGTTACCACATAGAGGGAAGGCTTATAAATTAGTTTTTGTAGTAAACTAATTAGATTAAAAATTAAGGCTGCAACTAGGTATATAGGACATAGACATAGCTAACTGGACAATGAATATTTGGGCGGCTAACTGGTAATGTCAGATTATATATAAAAATAATTAGGGGGTGAATAGATATTTATTTTCCTGATGTCGAAGAGTTATTACTCTCACGCCTTCCCATAAATCCATCTGAGGCATATTAGGGAAATGCCAATAAATTAAATATGCACCTCCATATCTAGTGTATTTCATTAGCTCTAATACCAGGACGTTGGACTTGATCAACACTATGGTGCATTTTTATGTCATTTTTAATAAATAAATAAATAAGGAATAGAGAAGGTATATAACTTTTTGTTTTGTTCGAAAATGTAAATACACCTGCTGGGACCAAAAAAAAAAAAAGAAAAATTGTACATACCTTTTTTCTTTTTTTTCAACAAACTGTACATACCTAACCCTACATCAACGGTGTTAGGTTCAATAATGCAGATTGGAGAGGAAAAGAAAAACCAAAAATACCAAAATATCTTTCACGAGACTCCAAAGGCTTAATAATACACCTTTTCTCTCATTTTTCTCATGTTCCCCAAACTCCCTCTCTACCCAGGCCTCAAACAATGGAAAACAAATACTCCGTGTATATATATATATAGGTGTGAGGGGCAGATTTAGGGGCGGAAGGGGTCCTTCGTCAGAAAATTGTACTCTATATATATATGTTTAACCAAAAAGTATACTACTCTTTGTTAAACTAATTAAATAATAAGTGAGGTGAAAGGTCAATCCTAGTCAAGCATAATAATTCCTAGATCTAGTTTAGAACTTGGGTGACACCGTTTGACAAATGCTCGTGTATTCAGTCATTAAATGCACACTTTAGGGCGTAAATGAAGAATGAATAATGAGCAATAAATATGAGAAATGCCAATAAATGTAAATAGGAACAACAATGCACCCAAATATCAAATGATGTGGAAGATTCTTCCTTCTGACAGCGAAATATGGCAGTAGACAAGAATATGAGTAATGCTTTCTTGGATCGTGTGAGTGGAAAGGAAGAATAATCGATAAAATCAATCACTATGGAAAGGTAAACTTTATATTTTCTCTCAATAGTCAACTTCTTACAATAGTTTCTCAGATTCAATCTCACGTGCCCCCTTTTCTTTTCTCTCTCTTTCTATTTATATGGGATATTCTCTAAAAATCCTAAAAAGTACAACAAAGGGAATATCCAGGAGAATATTCCTGTCACTAGTTCCAAGATTACACTAGCCGTTATTCCTATTCTTCGTTATTCGACCTCGACCTCTACGGCTCGCTCAACGACTGCTCGTTGTTGGGCTTTGGTCGACCTCGTCCTATCTGCCCAAATCGGAACACAGTCTTTTCACCTTACGATCTTTTCACGCCCAACTTCCTCAGCAAGATTTTCACCCATACAGTTTGTCCCTCCGCTTGTCGGGGTCACCTTCTGGTCGGCCCCGATGAGGGGACCTTTTCAGTTGGCGATTTGTGAAGAAATTTTTGGCGTGGTGATCGAGTGGAGGTGCCCGTTGCCGAAGCAATGATGTGTCTTTTTTAGATTCGTGGTCACAACGCATGCGTCATCATTGCGCATATTTTCGATGCGTTGCCTCGTTCCTCGAGTCCCTGTCGTTTCGATTCCAAGGCTATTGGCTATTGCTTACATCGATTCGAACGCCCCTGAGGTCTATAAATAAAGAGGGGGAAGTTTCTCAAAGAAACTTTTGCACTCTTCTAGCTTTTTCAGCCCTGCACTTGCTTCCTTTTCTCCTTCTTATGTTCTTGCTTCCTGTAACTGCTGCTATTGCCACCCCTTCTTCTTTTTCTATCTCCTCATATACACATCATCAAAAAATGGCTACCGTAACCCCCAACACTGAGATAGTTTCCGAGCCTACTCCATTATCGGTGGCCATGCCTTCTGGTGGCGGAGAATCAACGGTGGTAGAGGATGAAAGCTTTCCCACTGTGGAGGAGATCATTCCTCGTAACCCTGCTTCCAGGTCTGACTTCTCTAAGGAACCCGCCCTTGAACCGGAGTCTGCGAAGTTGGAGATAGAAGCGAAACACCTTACCGCCCTTAGGGCCAAGTACGACATTACAACCTACGTTGACCTGGTTCCGGCCAGAGGCGACGTGATTCAAGTTCACAGGGCTGGGTATTGTGCGTTTTACGCCTACCCGTTCCATATAGGCTATTCTCTTCCTCTTCCTCTGTTGGAGGAGGAGTTCTGCCGCTACTACCGTATCTGCCCGGCACAGCTCTCTCCTTACCTTTACAAGATTTTTCTTATGTTGGCAAAGTTTGCGGAGCTTGCCGGCTGCGAATTCTCTATCCGCCATCTTTTGCATCTTTTCGGGCCGAGCTTCCATAGAGGCACGATGATTCACCTCCGCCACAGCGGAACCAAAGGGTTGGTGGCGGGGATGGTTCTGGGCCTATTATTTCTTTGTTAAAACCGAGCACGTAGTGGAAAACCCTAGCGACTTTCCCGAACAATGGAATTTTGCTCGTAAGTATCATTATTTGGAGTACGTTCTTCTCTTCTCTTCGTGATTCGTGACTAGTTATGTCGT